CAGCAGTAATCAAAGCTATCAAGGCGCGGATAGTAAGAAATCCTGTCCGAAAACAGAAGTTGATGGATTTGCAGATGGGTGTCAGTAGGAAAACAGTAAAAAAGGTTTTAAATGAAGATCTTGGTCTACGAGCATACAAAAAAAGAGTGGGCACTTACTTAATGCTCGTCTAAAAGCAATAAGGCTTAAGAGATCGCGGGTGTTGTTTCAGCGGTACGCGAAAAACCGACACCGTGATATCCTCTTTACGGACGAAAAATTTTTCGATATTGAAGAGAAGTACAATAAACAGAATTATACAGTGTACGCTAAGAGTTCTGAAGAAGCTGAAAATAAAGTTCCAAGGGTGCAACATGGACATCATCCATCATCAGTAATGGTTTGGTTGGGAGTGTCCTATTACGGGCTAACTGAGGTTAATTTTTTCGAAAAGGGGGTCAAAACCAGTGCTACAGTGTACCAAGAGACGGTTTTGTATCGCCTTGTCAAAGACATGTCCAGCACCCTATTTGCGGGACATCACTTCGTGTTCCAGCAGGACTCTGCGTCTGCATACAAAGCCAAGACCACTAAAGCCTGGTTTGAGCGTCAAAACATCGTCTTAATTAGACATGAGGATTGGCCTTCCTCCAGTCCGGACCTTAATCCTTTGGACCAAAAATTATGACAGGGCTTAGAGAGGAAGGTCTGTGATAAACCTCATGAAAATTTGGAGAATCTGAAGTCATCTTTAAAAAAACCAGTGACTGAAATGGACACGAATATGGTGCGTGCTGCGATAGACGACTGGCCGCGACGCTTAAGGGCCTGTATTAAAAATGAGGGAGGTTATTTCGAATATTTTTATGCTTTTTTTATTCCTTAATTAATTTACTAAGAATTGATATATCACTCATTACAAACTGATCAGTACTTTTGTTTTTATCATTATTTCCATTTATGACAGAACTTTGGGACCGACTACGTAGGTTTTACGTGATTTTCACTAATTAGGTATGATGTGATTGTGATAGCTAATATAATAAGTAATTTTAGTCCATTATTTTGTTAAATAATTCAATAACAGATAACCTAAAATTTTAGTATCGTTGAATTTTCTATAATACTTATAATATAAATATTAGTCGATCTTTATAGTGTACCTATAGGAATTTCAGGCGTAGACCTTGGGCAGGAAAGACGAAGTCCCTCGGAAAGTCTAATGATTTTCATGCTCAAAGATGTTTTATAATGAATATGGCGCATTGTTTTTTAACAAGTTTTCATTAAATAAAATTAAGAATTCGACTCGAACCATGCTCTGAAATTTAACTGAATTCACATTTCATTTAAAAAATACGGCCCTGTGTTTTAACATTGAGGTGTCAGTGATTGGCTATCGGCCAATATTAGTAATAGTTGAAATCTTTATTATGTTAATAAGAGACTACAAGTTGGTATAAATAATCTTATTTGTTTTTGTCTTCCCCGAGAGCTCATTGTCTGATACCATGATCGAGCAATGAACGTAACAAGCAATACGTCTCTGGTTTCACAGAGTTCCGTATGCATCCATATGTTGCCTGTCTGCAATCACCAAAACCATTGATTTTGGTACACCTTACATTTAAGACGCTATTAGTAAATTAACTTTCACAGAACTGGTGGCCAAGAGCTTTGTTAAAACGCTCGAGATGAGATGCTGATGAGTTTAGGATCCTACATTAAATAGCTTTATTACGTACTATGACCTCCAGCTCCGATAAACTGAAACATATTATAATCGCAAGACCGTACGAAAGAACGATAACTTTTGTTTGTGGTTATTTATGTAAGTTCTGAAATTTATTTGTCAAAGTTGTTTCGACAGATGATTCTATGAAAGTAAATTAAAAATATAAACATTATTTTAAGTAATTCATCAACTACAATAAGCTGTTTTAAGTGTGTTTTTGGTATACATAAGTATTTATAAAAAATATTCTTATGAAATATTTTAAACGTAAAGTTTTCTGGTGCTACGATAGTTGGTCACCACTATGATTGGCTTGGTTTTCGTTGTGATGTGGAGATGCGTTCCGCGAGCGTGATTGGAAACGGTGTTGAGGGCGACGGTTGCTGAAGTTGTCAAGAGGTTGTGCTCGTAGCTCAGCAACTTCTGAAGACAATCTTCTTATTTCACCGATGAGTGTGTCGATGGCTGGCTGTTGCGGATGAGGTGGTGGCACGCGGAGCGACAGTGAAATACCGGAGACTTCCTGGCTCGACGGTGTTGATGAAGTTAGACGCTCTGCACCGGAATTTTCTGTTGTTGACATCTTCAATGCTCTTGGTGTTCTTCTCGGGGTTGTTCTTCACGGGGTTGTTCTTCTCGGGGTCACCACTTTAGGGACGTTGCTTGAGGGTTGATTGCTTCAGAATTATTTGGTCGATGTTAAAATAAAACTCCCTAATTACTTGTTGAGAAGAGGTGAAGATGGAATAATGAATGAATGATATTTATTTACAAAACTGTGTACAATTATACTTAAAAATTATCCTACACTTACAACTAATATTGACATGTGGTACCAAGATGCGGAGCGTTGGTTGGTTGCGCAGGTACCAGGCTAGGCGATAAAAACACGGCGCGGCAAAAAGTTGGCCTTTTTCTGCACGCAGCCGTCGAAGCGTACAAGTCGTCGGAAATATCTGCGAACCTGGCTTAATGACGTCATACAAACTGGAGAGATAGCAAAAAAATTGAAGATGTAAAAATAAAAAATATTTTATTTGTGTACTTATTTTTATTGATACTCGTAAGTACCTACCCATCTTACATACAGCACTAAATAGGTAGTTTATGTAATATTTCACCAAACAGAGAAACAATAAACACTAAAATGCGATTACGAAAGCAAGAATAATACACGTGCGGCATCGGCGATTGCGTTGGCAACGGTACTGGATAGGCGAAAACGGGGCGGGGTGCGGGGGCGCCAGGGGAAGCGCATTCCAGCGAGGTTCGCAGATATTTCCGACGGCTTGTACGAACGTGTTCTTCTCAGAACACTTCGATATCGTAACCTTGCGATAACGCTAATAACTGTCCTTTTCAGGACAAATTATCGTATCACGACTAAACGTCTACAACTGTCCTTTTCAGGACATATTATTCTTGTTTCACGACAAAACGTTTAACAACTGTCCTTGTCAGGACATATTACCGTGTCTTACGACACGATGAAACTGTTCTTTTCAGAACACACGACCGTAACTATTCTGATATGTTCTTGTCAGAACACATCACTGTTTCAATACGACACGTTAATCAATCACCTACAACAGTAACATTTTTAAACGTTTCTATTTTTCTAGCTATCAATATATATTTTGGTATATTTCTACATTTCTGTGATCAGATTTCATTTGAACATTGACTAACTGCTAACACGGCTCACGTGGCTGTTCTATACTTTAATAGTTTAAATCCGGGTCGCTGGTTCATATCCGGCTCGAAGAACCAATGTACAGCTTGCCAGCTAGTGGACTGTGAAATGTGTGTTTAAATTTATATGTATTAAATGTATGAGCAAGCTGCATTAGATAACTAAATAGGTGAGATTAATCCGAAAATTTTAAATTTATCCGACGTTGTGTAAAGGTTATGTCAATCAACGACAATACTATAAATAGGTGAGATTAATCATACAGTTTTTATTACAATACCGTTTAAATTTGACTGACTATAACCAATAACTAACAAATACCTCCAGCCGCGAAATTTGCCGCGCACCACCTCTGTAGAACCAGGTGCCCCTGGATATATTTTCGATCCACTACAACTTAGGGTCCTTCAAGAAAAGATCGAACCTATTCTATTAAAAGCCAATGCACTCGCAAATGCAGGCATTGAGTGATCCATGGACGGCGGTATCATTTGTCATCAGGTCAGCCTCCCGTTTGCCCCGTTATATTAAAAATAACATTTTACAAGTAATTTCGTTTTAAGATAATAAAATATTTGCTACGGTTTTTTATAAACATGATATTAATCCTTATCCTAAGAAATTACGGAAAATGTTCCCTATTTGATTTCAATATCTTAGGAGATATCAGTTTTAAAATAACTCCGTAAAAATAACAGAAGGAATAATAAAAGACGGGTGAAGAGCTACTATACTTTAGTCAAATTAAGGAACTTGACTTTTGAAAAATAGATATCTACTTGTAATAACATCTATTGTTAAGGATTGGGTATTATTCGTTTTATTTAAAAAGCACAGAACCTCTGATAAATAAAAAACACATGCGTATACAAAATGTATTATTATTTAAAAAACATAGTTCCCTTAGTGTCGTACCTACTTGATATAAACTCCTTGAGATCTGAATGTGTCCGAGATCATGATCTTCAGTCGATATTACAAGCTAAAAGGTTCCCCTAGCAATACACATATTTACATACACAATAACTCAAGGGAAATAATCATTATTTCGATAACCTTCACCAAAGAGATGTACAGAACTGGCGACTTGCATTTTGCTCAAGCTCCTATAATAATCATAAAATATTATATTGCATAGTTTATAGTTAAATAGCAACTCCAGCTCTGCTGCACAAAAATAAATTACTACATTAGATATATCCCGTTAACACATTTCATTGGGCTTTCATTTTTTAAAAGTATATATCTAATATTATACTCTAAGTGAAAGGTCTCTCTATAATAATAGCGATAAGCTATCTTTCTATCGTTTAACATCGCCCAACGCCATAATATACTGAAATCTCTGCCTTCCGGAGCAAATCTGACGTGCAATAAAGTAAACGAATGGTGAAAATTAAAAGTTTTTGACGATTTCTTAAATTTCTTTCCTTTAAAAGGTGAATATATTTCATCTTTATTAAATATTAATTAACATAAAATGAATGATATGTTTTAACTTCGAGATCAATAAACATTTTTGGCCAAAATCTCACTTCATTAGAACAAAGGCAGCCCGCGGCTTCGCGGTACTGATAAAAGTCGTGTAGAAATTTAGACGGTGTTCTCCTCCATCTTCCTCCGCCAGAGCGCCTTGGGGCTGTGCAGGGCGCGGCCGTAGAGGATCTTCTGGTAGATCTCGACGTTCCTGATCGGCGGCGCCGGGTCGGCGGGCGGGATGCCTCGTCTCACGCTTTGGAATTTCTCCTGGTCGATGGGCGGCAAGGGCACCACGGCCTTCCGGATCTTGTGCACGTACTCGTCCTCTTGAACGGGCTTCGGCGCCTCGGCCGCCGTCCTCCGCTTCTCCACGATCACGCTCCGTCGCGCGTTATTTGCCTCGAGGATGGACCGCGCGTCGGCGGCGGGCTCCTCGGACGCCTCGGGCTCCTCTGACGCCACGGGCTCCACCGACGCATCGGGCGCTCGGCGCTCGCAGAGGACGGCGCTCGAAGGCGCGTACACTTCGGGATGCGTGTTGCGGATGTGCCTCTCCAGGTTGTCCTTGCGCCGGAACTGACGCTCGCAAAGCTTGCAACGGAACGGCTTTGAATCTGAAGAGAAACGAGTTAAGAGCGGGCGTTAACCAAAATCAGTCATCGTAGATTTGATTTTATGTACGAGAGTGATGCTTAAACTAGAATCAATAAATATGTATTGGTCCTTCACTATAATTTCAATTGTTAACTATAATTAAAAACACAATATATTATAAATTCCTCAATTCAAAAATACACAAGACATCTCTACCTTTTCTCTAGTTTCGTTTTCATTCAATTATGGCGAGTATTAAGAACCCAAACCTTAATTGAATTACATCACATTAGTTTGGCCGAGGGCTGTTACTAATGATTTTACTAAATATTTTATATTTTACAAGCTATTTAAATAAAAAGCATTTGGCGTTTATTTCATTTTTCGCGAAACACTGTATCTCACGTGAACTTCGATTATACATTTGTTTGACTAGTCAGTCGCAGTTTGACTCTCACTCCATTGAGACGAGAACACTACGCTTCTTTGCGCCAGCGCTCGACATAATATTATAAATACCACGAGTAAAATAAAAACCATTCCCAAAAACTAAACTTAACTACATTTTTAACATTAATAATATTAGTAACAATATATAATACGTAATAATTCAATTAAAAATAAAGATTCCATGAAATTTCAAATCATATCTCGAAACTAAACATGCTATTTTATGACTTATTTGCATAAATTATTTAGTTTATATGTATTTATAGGTATAGTTAGTTTTATTTGACGCCGTGAGGTGTCAATAAATAGATAAAAACAAAATTCACAACATAAAATAATAATGGGGGGCTCGCAGCAATTGCTACTCTTGCCACGTGGTTAATCTGGCACGCGTTAAGTAAACCGCATATTAATATTCCAGCTAATTGTGTTGCGGCCTACCCACCTGTGTGCACCGCGAGATGGCGACGCATGTCCTTGCGCGAGTGGAAGGCGCGAGGGCAGCGCGGGCACTGGTGGCTCCGGCCGGCGCCGCGGGGCCCGTCCTGCGCCGCGCTCGCGTCGCGGTGCCGCAACGAGTGCTTCCGGTAGTTGGACTTGTCTCGGAACTTCTTGCCGCAGGTCTCGCATGCGAAGGGCTTCTCCTCCGAGTGGGTCAGGCTGTGTTTGCGCAGAGCAGTCGCGTTGTTGAAAGATTTACCGCATTGAGGACACGAAAACGTTCTCTCGTCTGAAATTTGGATCATTCAGGTTTTGATTTACCTTTGAAAAAGTCCGTGGTTCTCGTAATGTTACAATATGCTCACTCGAATGTTTCAGCTTATGGCGTTTCAATTTAGACATCTGCACGAAGCTCGAACTGCACACGTCGCACGGGTATATCTTTTCGTTCCGATGAACCCTCATGTGATATTTGTAATGAGATTGAGACACAAAACCCTAAAACAGAGGTTCTCATACTTTATTCTCGCAGACCACTTTCAACATTTTGCTGGTTACGGCGGCACCGGGGGACCTACATTTGTAGCATATGCAGTCAACAAATATTCCCAGCTAACCACAAATTAACAGTTTTAAAAAAAGGGAGAATTGATTGTGCTATGATGTGGATATCAAAAAAGTGTTACCATCCTACTTTACTGTTTTAATCTTATTTTATTTAGAAAACTCCCCATTCAGCGTAGAACAACATATATTATATTCTATTGTATTAATTCAATTTTCATGAAGCTACCACTGTCTAGTCACTTGACCTATGGGACCAATTTGGAAAACAATACTCTAAACGACAATACACAAGACATTTTGTTACTAAGCAGTTTCAAATGGATAAAAAATGAAATTATCATTTATTTATTTATGGAATATATGTATTCAATCAAAACATTATAGATATATATAATTAGATATTAATGACGTACCTGATTACATTCCATACATTGATATGGTTTCTTTTGTCCATTGCAGTATGCATGGTAAATGGTGTGTTTACGAGTCTGTAACTTTTTATTGCAAATGGTACACACATAGTATTTTATACCAGACATATCTGTAAGGAGATATATTTTTTCAGTATTTAGCCCAATGAAATACCTATAGTACCAGTGTATGAAATAATAATAATATATATATATTATATATATATAAATCTCAATGCGGGATAAACATTTACATAACTTTTTATTTGTAACTTCAAGGATAGCTATTTTTGTGTTTTATAATGTGCCTGAGATATTTAAGATATACAAAAGCCTTTTCCGTTATTCTTCCATGTTTATTCTATAACAGTCTAAGTATGTAATATTTCCAAGGCGAAAAGTTTAATAGTTCTTGAGATTATTAGATTATACAAAAACATTTTTTGTCAGTAATATTTGTAAAGATGATTGACATAATCCTGACCTGTTTCAAGTTTGATATGAGAAGTTTCTGGTGTTATCCTATTTAAATCATTACATTCAGCTTTTTTCTCTTCTGGATTACCAATAGATGCATCTATTAGTTCAGTTGCTTCTAATTTGGAGCCATTTACTTGACTAATCTTAGACTCACTACAGGCTACACAACCAGATTTTTCTTGCAGGAGACAATCCATACATTTTACATGACCACAACTCTCTGTCACTAGTCTATTATCAGTTCGGTTGATTGTTTTTTTATTGTTGCAATTAATACAAACATTTGAATTCATTTTGAGTTTTGTAACTTGGCGTTCCTAGGTTATAATAATATTGTCAAAAATAAATATGATTATTATACGGATTGCAGTACAGAACGGATTTATACACTTCGAAACTAAGCCGGCACTCGGCACAGAATTTTATAAATTAAAGGTACATTCATTATTGTAGAAGTTTTAGAAATTAAACTATAAGAATAACTCATCTGTGATTTCATTAGTGAAGTCATTAGTGAAGTACAAACTAGTTACTAGAAAAACTCTGTGAGTTGACTTGAGAATATGTTTGTCAATTCCGGGACATAAACACAGGACAGATTGCTTATCTTATTAATGGCACAGATTGACAGATTTTTTAACATAATATTACGGTATGGTAACGAGTCAGACTGACAAAATCACAAATTAATAATATACAAAATTGTGGATTTGAACCACAGATGACAAGAAAATCAAAATCCACACATGCGAAATTAAGTGCGTTTTCCAATTACAGCTCTAGAGCGCATTTTGCGGCATAATGCTCAACGTCGAGTGTTCCAACTACAGCAACGCTTCGCACAATTGAGCACTCTCAAAACGAATGCTCTCGCGAGCTTCTCGCAAACAATACACAGTGACAGAAAATTGACCAGTATTTTTCTTTAAGTTGGCATTTATCGAAATTTTCGTTAGTAAATATTATTTATTGTTGAAAAATTTGTAAGGCTTTCGTTTCGTCGTAGATTTTGAAAATAATTAAAGTTATTTCAAACTGCTAAAAAAAAAAATATTAGTATGGATGATAAATAGTTACTTTTTTTATATTCCACATTTAAAATATGAATACAATTTTATTTTAAAATTCGGATCTGTAAACAAATTTATTTTACAGGATTATACTTTAGAAAAAATTGCAATGGTTTTGAAAAGTATTTAATTTTTTTAGAAATCATTAAAAAATATTACTTAAAACGTAAATGATGTAAACTTCTTACATGAAACTAAATATTTTACTGTTAATTTAGCTTGTTAAAACCTTATATTCTTCTAAAGGTTTTCTATTATTTCAATTAAAAAAATGTTAATGAAATAATTTGATGATTACAATAAGCGTAAAAAGTTTTCAACCAATTATTATTGTTTACCCATTGATATACAAAAAACCCAAGATGCACAGTCTCATATAAAAGCAACGCTCGAAAGTGTCCCGAAACAATATTTCTGTCCATAACAGTATATGTTACAAGCATATATTATTTCAAAATCAACCTTACGCGAATTGCTTAAAGTTGTTATTACAACGCAGCGTATACGTACTTAAAGCAATAAAATTTTACGACCGACCGTGGTCGGTAGGACAAGGTATTGAGTGGAGTCGAACATGACTTTTTTATTTACAACTATTTAACATAATTTTAAATTTATCCGACTTTTCGGGTGCTTTACAGCGTGAGTGGTCACGGTGACTGAAGACAAAAGGTGTTGGATGTTAAATAGTTGTCAATTTATAATAATACATAACTTTAATCCGGTTAAAAAGTTTTTTCTTTAAATTAAAAAAAAATGTTAAATTGGCTACCTCCTGACCCACACTTTATATAGCGTAAATATATTTGTCAAAAACTACACACAAAGAAGTTCAAGAGTACATAAATTTATTTATAAAAAAAACACAAATAAATAACATCGACTCCACTGTAGACGCGAGACTATTTGAAATGAGCGCACAATTTAGAATGTTGCGCTCATTTTTTGAGGACGTTTTTTTGACGTTGAGTGTGCATCTTGGGTTTTTTGTATATCAATGTGTTTACCACATTATTTATACATTAATGAGGTTGCTAACTCAATTCATAACATTTTTTTTACAACACTGACTTAGCGCACTCTGCTGATGCATTTGAAAACTAATTCACGTTCCAATTAAGCTTCAGAATTATGCGGCATTGTGCGGCACTGAGTCGCAAAATGCTCTGTAATTGGAAAACGCACTAAAACTTACTTTTCCGCCCAAATTTAGGGTGCACTTTTTCAAGAACTTTTTTTTTTTAAATGCACGTTATACAATTTATATTAATCCTCAAACCCAACCAACAAACTAAACCAAATATAAATTCTAAGCGTGGCTATAACTAATAGTCCAACATAGATATAATCTCATAGCTAAACGGTTAAAAAAAAAACAAAAAGCTCTAAAAATTATGTATGAAAAGAAAATGAGTAAAAATCAAAAAATAATATATGCCAAGAATATAATCATTGATACATATTATTATGTCATTCATGAATATATTATGTAAAGGTGTAAAATGCACCTACATAACTAAAAAAGCTAATCTTATTCTGCTTGAATGTATTTATAATTCATATTTGCAACCTTGTACCTTTCTAACCGAGTGTAAAAAAATAAGGATTTCTACTCGATATTTGGCATCATTGCGCTGACTTACTTTTTCACTCTCAGAATAAAAATTTACGCTAGTTTAAAGTCGCGACTTAGCTATAAATATGACTCATCTAAGACAAAACAATACGTTTTTGAAGTTATACTTCTTTAGGCGCGTTATGAAAAATTGATGAGAGTGAAATTTTACGATGCGCGCGCACCGTGACACAAAATTAACAGAATGAAGTTGCCCACGGAAGATGCTACGGTATTGGACATAATTTAAAAACAACATTCGAATAATAATAGAATTTATGTTACACTTAATGTAAGAGAATAATAATAAATATTTATTTATTTAATTTTTCAAATGTAAACTGAGCTTTATTGACTATAATGACTCCTTTTCCAGTCTTTGATTATTTAATTGTAATGAATTATTTGCATGCAATCAAAAACTATTTTTAATAATGCCAAAGAAGTATAACTTCTTACGCGCGTACATAAGTACACGCACCCTTTTTTTTTTATATACGAATTTATTCGGAAATACTATAATGGGCAGCTGGTTGTACAAAGTGGTGGTGGGTGGCAAACGGTGCCTTAAAAAAGTGATAAGGGTGCATAAATTATTTATTTAACGATGACTTCCGATAATGAAGCTCAGCTGCAGGTAATAATCTAACTAATATTGACTCCTCTGAACAGTCTTCATGGTAAATGCGGTAGAAGATGCACATCTAACGCCATAGGATTAAGCCACTCAGAAACTGATTGGTCACTTTTCGTTGAATACGGTCAAGTGGAGGCAACTGGTACTGGGGAGTTCTCGCCCAGAGGTGAGAACTGTACTCAATGTGTGGACGAATTGACGCTCTATAGAGTTGCAAGCGGTGGCCCGAGGTGAATTGTCGTCTCGCCATGCTAAGCACGCCTTATTTAAGGCCAACTCAGCCTTTCCATCTAAAATATGACCGTGATTCTGAACATCATTGGATGTGTCAACGCTCAGTATTCAATATATTGGTGAAGATAATTTTGGCGTTTGCAAAGGTACGCGTTATTAAAGGTTTAGTGAACATTCATTGCGAATTGTGAACGCATAAAAAATATGATACTAATTGCTAATATTTTATACTATAAAAAAATGTAAAAAGAATTTACTTTTTTAAAAAAATATCGTGTTTAAATGTTTCTTTAATTTACAAGTATAATTTTATGCCGCTAGTTTGAAAGCGACCTCTTTATTCCGTGCTATACAAATGTAATTTTTGACAAATATTTCATCTGTACTTACCTATTCTTGATCTGTGATCTGTATTTATTAAATTGTCATACGAACTAATTTTACTTGTACTCCTTGAAACGTTTTTTTATAAAATATCTAGTTTATAATTTTTAATTATAGTTTGAACATGGTGAGAAATCCCTTTTATAAAGTTACTTAAGGATGTGTATAAAATAATTATGCTTCACTTTGTGTTGGTGTCTTGATATGAGATCTTATACGTAACCTCAAAACGCTTTTTGTTTTCAGGATGTCTTTTTAATGATTAGGCGAAAAAAATTAACCATCTTCACAGATGCCAAGGATACTACTACTGTATTAGAACTTAAGAAAATGATTGAAGGTGAAATGTTTATAAATTGACATTAAATAATTCTATTTTTAGTAGTAAGAGTTTCAACTTACGCGTTCTTAATGTAATAGTTCTGTGTTTTCATCATCTTGTTCAAAGAAATTCTATTTTTTTTAATTCTTCACATGAATTCTTAGGAATTCAGAGTAACTAAGGGCTTTTTACTATTAAAACTTAAAGGATTCATTGGTCTAGCATTCATAATTTTTGTAAACAAGGTAAAGGTGGTACCTTTAACAAACTTACTTAAGTCTCATTTATCAAATTGACTTAAAAAATTCAAATTGAATATTTTAATTTATTTTCATCAATGCTATTATCTTTCAGGCATTTTAAAAGTTCCACCACCTAGTCAGATGTTGTTTAATAAAGACAGTCAGTTGATGGAAGATGAAAAAACCCTAGCAGAATATGCCTTAACCTCAGTTACTGCTAGAGCACAATGCCCCGCACCAATTGGACTTGCTCTCAGGTACAATTAGAAATCTATTTTTATTGTTGTTTACTCAACTACACATGTAACAAAAATTTTCTGATAAATAATATTTTTTTGTTATTCTTTAGTTGCATACTGTTGCATACTGTTCTATAATTTGTGACTTATTATTTTATTGATCATAGGAAAGAAAATGGTGAGTTTGAAGCTCTGGATCTCACTCCCTATTCTTCACCACCAGATCTGCCCGATGTCATGAAGTCACAGGAAGCCAATGGACAGGAACAGGTAAAATATTGGCACAGTTTCTGGGAAACAATATGCCCAGTGATAAACTTATGGGAACAATAACACAATAATTATGTTTGATTTATTTCAGATGGATCAACACTAAATAAGCATCAAATGTCAAGCTTGCGATACAACCAGCATCTTAGTATCATTGTAAATACACAAGCAATATTTAATGCATTATGTTTTGGGTATAGCAACAACAAGTTGTTGTTTTTTTTATACTTGGCAACTCAAAATGTTAGTCATGAAACAATTACTGGTGATATACACAAAATTTATTTAACAGACCATTCATAGAGATCATTCACTTCATTAATTAATATTTACATAATGCCAAAAATAATACAATTTTATCGTAGTTGTCAGTATTGAAGATCACACCACTGCAACCGTGTTCACATTTAGATCATGCTCACTGACAGACAAGTCATGTGTAGTATGTAGTACGGGTTGAAGTGTTTTGTGATATTTGTGTATGTGTATCTTCTACTTTACTTAAATCACCTGTCCTTGGCTTATTCACAACACCCAACATTTTTGTACTAACACAAACTATTAACTTATGACATAAATGTCGCGCTTTAATCTGTTAAGTATTACAAAAATGATTTTAATTTTATCTATAATGGCAACATGACATTGTTTTGTTTAAGTATGATATACAATTTTGATTAAAAAATTAAAAAACCTATATAATGGCAGAGTTCCGGTTTTATGGAATAGTTCAACTCAAAAAATTAGTCAATTCTAGGGGAAGAAAGAAGTTGGGCATAGTAGTTTGATTTTCTTGTAATTTAATTCATTAATATGGTATATAACTATTAGTATAGGACAATCTATAGATAGTAGTTAAAACAGGGCATAAAACATATTTTGGGGCTTTTAATTTTAAACACTTACTAAAAATTTACACATGTAGATTGAGTAAGAAGAGTTTTGGAAAAAAAACTCATTTAAAATCTAGTGTAATACATAATATAATAATTTTTACATAAAAATGTGTTGTAGGCCCCAAAGACTTGTTCCTTAATAAGATTTCTTATTGGTTGAAAATATGTTTAAACTTAAAGCTATTTTTTATTTATACCTTTGTATTAAGAGACCCTTGAGGTTTAATGATTAAATTCTAATTCTAGAATTCACTTTTACATGAGAATTCATATAATATGTATGAAATAAAAAATTGAACACTAATAAAACATGAACCAATTCTGATCTATGTCAGTGCAAATACATTAATTTAAAGTCTTGCAAATTGAACATTATTTTTATGAGAGGTCTGTAAAAACTTTTGTTCTTATTTGTCAACTGCATGTAATCGTGATAAAAGTCATTTAAGATAATATATGTTTATATATATTACCACACCATATTTAGTACTGATGTCCTACAAAGTTTGTATATTATTAGATTAGAAAAATGATATTTATTTGCCATTAAAAGAATAATGTAATGAAATGTAACTTGTCTGCTATAAAATTTCCCTTTTAAGTTTTACTTTAGTAGCAGCAAAGCAACTCAGTTTAGGTGCTGGATTCTTTATTAAACTAAGCTAAATATATCTATGATTGATAATTGTTACAACATTTTTATCTAGATTGCATGTAAGATGAAAGAATAGGCAAGACTTGTGGAAATTGGTAGTGTCATGTGCAAGTATGGGATGTAATAAGAATCAGCAAAAATAAAGCTGTTTTGATTTGTTTTGGACCTTTTTACCTTATCCAACCCAAGTATTTAAAATATTATATTAAAATGTGTTGTTTATTTGATCATTACTTGCACCAAAAACAAAGTAGACAAATTAAAAGTTAATAAAAATTTCTTCGCCCTCTTATAGAACAGACGGCGAACGGGCAGGAGGCTCACTTGATGTTTAGTGATACTTGCCGCCCATGGACACTCCCACAGCCAGAAAGCTCGAAGGTACGTTACTGGCCTTTTGAGAGCGGGCACTCATTATCCTTCACGATAATTTCAATGGTTGACTCTAATTAAAATACAATATAAATTTCTCGATACAAAAAAATCACAAAGTCACCTATAACTTTTGTCTAAAATAATTGAATTACAGCACATTAGTTTGGCCGACAGCTGTTACTAGCGATTTAACTGAATATTTTACGAACTATTTAAATAGAAAGCATTTTACTTCTACTACGAAATTTAGGCATACGTTTGTTTCACTAGTCACTCGCCCTCGCTCCATTGAAATGAGATTAATACGCTTCTTAGTGCCAGCGCTCGATATACATAATATTATAATTACCACGAGTAAAACTTAAACCATTCCCAAAAACTAAACTTAACACTTTCGCATTTATAATATTAGTAAGAATATGTAATTATTCAGTTAAAAAAGATGATTCCATGAAATTTCAAATCAAACCGCGTAGTAGGTAGGGGAAGGTGGGGACCCTTCGTACGGTTTTCACATTTATTTTTTTCTTTTTCCATGAATCACCTGATAGCTTAAATTTATAGTCGTTAGACTATCTGAGATTCATATAAAAAATAATGACAAATGATTTCATCTGATGGTTCAACCATAATTATGATTTAAACTAAATCTGGAAAACGTACGAATCTGCCCCATCAACGGGGCACCTTCGTACAGTGTTGGGGGTACCTTCGCACGCTGTGGGGTAGTTCCGTACTTGCGATTGAAACGACACACCTAAATCAAAATTCATTTATCAGCAATGAAATTAAACAGAAAAATAAAGATTTAATTTCTATTAAACAAAAATAAAATACTTTTCTTATAGTGAACAAAAATTACATAGCTTTTCTTATGTAAAACAAAATTTAATTAGTTAGGTATCTTAAATTTAGAATCACGTTTCTTAATCTTTGGTGCGGATTAGCACTTCTTATTTTCGGGTGTGGCAATATAAATTCGTGGTTTTCCTGGCCGTCGTCGTCATTTTGTTTGTTTTATTACTTCTTACAATAAATAAAAAAATAAAAATAAAATATGTTTATTATGAAAAACATGTATCACTTATTCCACGTCATTAATTTGAAGGCATCCCTACTCATCGCAAAGCAGAGGGTGTAGGCCGAGAGAAAAACCGGCGTAAAAAACTCTCGGTACTCTTTAAACACAAATATCAACACCTTATTTAAAACAAATTCGCAAATTGATTAGAATAGCCTGTCTACCTAGTCCCAGGCCCTTTTATCAACTAGATAATCGTTGACTTTATAGTAAGCCTTTTTACACAGCTTTTCTTTAATACATTTCTTAAATTTATTGAAAGGCAGTGATAAAAGAGCCTCTGGGATTTTATTAAAGAAGAGTATCCCTTTCCCCAAAAAAGAATTACTAACTTTAGATAGTCTAGTACGGGAAATTGCAGCCTGCGTTTGTTCCGTGTATTAACATTGTGCGTATGTTCTATTCTATAAACTTATACTATTTTTGTATACATACATAATTTTTCATAAATATTGCGAGGGAAAGGTAAGTATATTAATTTCCTTGAATTTATCTCTAAGAGATTCCCTACATTTTAAATTATAGATTGCAAGAATAGCCCTCTCTCAGGATGAAAATAGTTTCGAATAGACATGACCCCAATATAACCATAAGTCATAACTATGAAAGTAACTAAAATAAACAAGTCTAGCTGTATCACATCAGTTAGTGAGCGAATTTTTTAACCGCGTAGCTGCAAACTAAGTCTCTTCCCAATCCTTAATATGAGGGGACCACTGAAGTTTTGAATCCATGGTGATTCCGAGAAATACAGTTTATCATCCAGATTCAATTCCTCACCGTTTATAATTGGTCTATTCCATAACCCTTGCATTTTTGCACAAAATTAATGCATTTTGTCTTTTTGCATTAAGTAGAAGGTTATTCATACTAAACCAATGGACAATCAAACAAGCATTGTTCACATCGTCAAAATTTGTTATTTGTCGTTTGATTTTAAAAATCAAGGACGTGTCATCACAAAAATTCTGATGTTTTCTCTCTACCATGAAAGGTAGATCATTTATATAAACAAGAAAGAGGAAAGGGCCAAGAATTGAGCCCTGTGGTACCCCCATATCTACTGCCGACCAGAGGACCTCTTACCATTCACTTCAACTTCTGAGTTCTTCCGTGTAAATAGGAAGTCAAAGATTCAGTCGGTATTCGATGCCATAGTGGCGGAGTTTCCCGATTAAGGTCTCTTGGACACAATCAAATGCTTTGGATAAGTCGCAGAAAACCTAAAGCGTCATGCGACTCCTCCCAAGCCTTAACTATATATCTATATAACTCAACACCGGCACGGCTGTCGAGCGACCCTTGGTAAAACCGAACTGATTATTATGTAATAATTTGTTTACGTTAAAATGACTTACCAGTTGATTTAATATAATTTTTTCAAATATTTTACTACAAGTAGGTAGTACGGAAATTGGTCAAAGTTACTGGGGTCGGACATACTACCTGCTTTAAATAAAGGAATAACTTTACTATGTTTCATTAGATCGGGAAACTCGCCACTTTTAATACAATTGTTGAAAATTATAGCTAGATGGGGAGCAATTACATCAATTATGCTACTAATTATTTTTACAGAAATACCCCAAAGATCGGATATAGGGTCGAAATGCCTCTGGTGTCAAATCTGACTTCGAAGGAACTATTGATGGATTGGTAAATTATTCAAAGCATCTGGTTCACAAGCATCAAAATCAACCTTAATAAAGATAATAAGAAATAATAGGTATTAATATATATTTACATCGACGATAGCAAAAATAACAACACAGGACAAAGTTAATGCAAAAATTAGCAAGTAGCACACTAACACACAATCGTACCTACCTACCAGAGGGTTTAGTCAAGATACCTTAACAGTAGTGTATGTAGAAAGTCAAAAACTTAATTTGTATGAAAATGACAGTTCGTGTCGACAAATTTTCATACAAATTTAGTAGTACAATTCGTTCAAATGTGCCCCATCTAGTGCTGTCCGAAAGTACCCCACTAACAGAATAACAACCAAATATAACTTATTTAAATATTAATAGGAAAATGTCATAAATTAAGTATT